ACCCATGAAACGAAAATCAGTCTTTTTGCAGATGACACTCAATTATTAAATAAAAACGAAAAATCAGTTGAAAAGTTATTTGAAATTAAACAATAAACGAATTTGATTATGGGTATAGAATTAAGTACGATCAAACCAAAAGGTCTGTTTATAGGGAGGTTAAAACACTCATTGCAAAACGTATGCTTTTGTCCTTAATAGAGTTAATAGAAATTGACAGTCGCGGGATTCCAAACCAATATTTAAACGATATAAACAAACTCAATTGGGCATTTATTTGGAATAATAAAATTAACCAAATAGATAGGTACGTTTGTTGCTAAGATACTAAAAAGAGAGGTATTGGCATGATGAACATTTTTTTTCTTTTGTAAAGTGTTTATACAAGATCATTCACTCAGATGAAGAAACTTGGAATATCTTGGGTAAAAACTGGTTAAATAAATTTGACGTAATAATTGATGAAGAATATTTATTATGTAGATGCACAGATCTATCTAGTTTTAGTCTGTCATCAATCCACCGTTCTATATGAATGCCTTTAACTCTTTATCGGAACTAAGAAAAATACATACTCCTACTACATGTAATACCAAGTAAAAAATATTGAAAACTAGACTTGTTCGTAACTCTGATATTAAATTTAAAAGAAAATCTCTATATTTTAAATCTTTCACGAGGGTAAAATAGCAACTATTGGTAACAGATGGAATCTTGAAACGAATACTATTCAAAACTGTAATTTCATATATAATCGACTTATTGATAAAAGGAATTGCATAACCAATATTCAAAAAATATAAATGCTATACCTTAAATGTACATAGATATACTAAGGGGTATACATATTTTACCGAATCAGCAGGCCAATTTATTAATTAAATGAGACAACTTAAATCTGTACACAATTTCATGTATTAAAATAACTCCAAAAATTCACAACCGAAAGATATTCAACACGTTCTTAATTAAAAAAAAAACCATACCTGAAGCACAATTAAAATGAGAAACTGAGTTTGCTATAATTATTGACTGGAAATCGGTTTGGAGTAATTTGAGAAATCACGGAATAAACAAGAATGTGTCCAAAGTACACGGATTCCCCAATCGCACTATCATTTACTATGTTCATTGGACCATGAAATTGGTATCAAAGCTCTAATTTGGCATTCAAGTTGGAAAGATCATATTATAGGGAACATGTGTACTAAGTTTCAAGTTGATTGGACTTCAACTTCATCAAAAACTACCTTGACCAAAAACTTTAACCTGAAGCGGGACAGACGGAGGAACGGACGAACGAACGGACGCACAGACCGAAAAACATAATGCCCCTCTACTATCGTAGGTTGGGTATAAAAATAAAATTTGTGAATCCATTGGAAGACCCTACATAACATTATTTACATCGAATCTAGACTACATCGATTGAAGGATGTACACCTCTGAGGAGCCAAAAATTTCTAGAATTAAACTTGTTTTCTTAACCTGATTTTTGGGTTCATACATGTTATATGACTGTAAAAAAATAATTGGTGAAGAAAAAATCATATGGTGGTGCACTTCCTTTTTTGCTACGGCCATTTGAAAGTACCAAATTTTGATGATTTTCCAATTTTTCATCAATTTTTACCCATTTTTGGGCTATTATTATGAAAGAAAATCACAATTTCACAATTAAACTTTTTTTCATACTTTCACTAAAGATGAAGTGGACCAATCTGAATAAATTTAAGATAAAAAAAAACTATATGGAGCTGTTAATATAAGAAAGTTTTATAAAATTTTGTTGCTTTTTTCGTGTCAAATTTACCATGCTGTCAATTTTGTAAATTTGGGATTTTTATCTTTTTTTGGACAAAAGGCATATAATTTCAACTTCTTTGTTATAAATGATTTAAAAAATACAAGTCTAAGAAATTTGAAAAGAAAAAAATGATATTAGATGTACATGTTTCTGGTAAAACCCCTCACCCATTTTCTCAACATTTTGGCTAATGAGACTGACATGATTGGTTATAAAATTTGAAAATTTTATTATTCAAAAACTACCTTTTATAAACAGAGTTAAATTTGATTATAATATTTTTTAAATTCATTGATATTTTCCACTCGTATCACATGTTTCGGAAATAATTCCAGAACGAGATTTCAACGAGACTGAAACGTCAGAAAAATACATCCTTAAGCATTTTTTGATTCAAAGTAATTACCATTTTTGCAAAAATCACATTGAAACACAAAATCATTTTTTTTATAACTGTAAAAAGATATTCCGATAAATAATAGAGTTAAACACTATATTCACTCAAAGAAAATATCGTTTAACGTAATCAATTACAAAATAAAGAACCAGATATCAATAATGATGTGGTACACTTATTAGATCAAATATGTAATAACTAGGTCTAGTGTGTACTTTTACATTGTAGTTAACGGATCGATACAATGTATATTCATAACAAAACTGGTGATTACATAATATAAAAAAGAAGATGTGGTATGAGTGCCAATGAGACAACTCTCCATCCAAGTCACAATGTGTAAAACGTAAACAATTATAGGTCAAAGTACGGCCTTCAACACGGAGCCTTGGCTCACACCGAACAGCAAGCTATAAAGGGCCCCAAAATGACTAGTGTAAAACAATTCAAACATGATAACCAACGGTCTAATCTATATAAAAAACGAGAAACGAGAAACACGTATGAACCACACCAACAAACGACAACCAATTAACAACAGGCTCCTGACTTAGGACAGGTGCATACAAATGCAGCGGGTTTTAACATGCGCCAACCTTCATGCTAACCTGAAACAGTAGTGTAACATTACAACATAAAAAGACACACTATAAAATATCAATTGAAATGGCTAAACTCGATCAAAAAGAAATATAAACAAAAACAAGTAAACATACACTGAACAAATAAGTTTGATCTATGACACAACAATATAAATACAATATTAATGTCTACCAAATTATTACATTTACATTGTTTATAAAAATAGAGCAATGTACATAAACTGATTAAAACTTATCTTTTTGAAGACATGTTTCACTGTTTATAGATATGGTGTAATCGCAATAATGTATTATGTTATGTGTGTTTGACGTTTGTGTTAATTTGATATATGAAAGCTACAATATATTATAACTGCAAGGAAAATTCAAAACAGAAAGTTCGTTTAACGAGTGGCAAAATCTTATTCCTGACTTGGTACAGGCATTTCCTTATGTAGAAAACGGTGGATTAAATCTGATTTTAAAGCTTGCTTAACCTTTCACCTGTATGACAGTCGTAAAAATTAAATTATATTGACAACAATGTGTGAGCAAAGCAAACAGACATAATAGGTAAATATGTCAAAAATTGGGTACAGCAGTCAACATTGTGTTATAATCTTAATCACTATAAAATCAAACAACTACGTCAACAAAAAAACCAAATTTGCATGTAGACACTCTATAGACAAAGCACATAAGCAAAAATGAAAGACAAGAATACAAAAAATGACCATAGCACAATAACACAATGCGGGATAAATAAATACCGAGACGCGCCAAAAGGATATTACCAAAAATGGACTAAACAGTGCAGGTTAAAAATATACAAAGACAAATAAAACGAGCACTATAACACGTAATTTGGAAGATAAACAACGTCAGTACCTAGAAAATATATTTTAAGACTATCATGTATTATTTGTTAAGTTAAAACGGAATAATAAACTACAAGCAATCCAATACAACATTTTACATAGAATAGTCTCTCACAATTATCTGCTGAAAAATATCGATTATCAGATACTAATGAATGCGCCGGTTGTAAAGAGATAGAAACTATAGAGCATAATGTTTTGAATGCACGGAAATACAAAAAAAAATTGAGAGAATTTTCTAATTCGTGGAATTTAGTTTTTGGAGTAAGATTATTTTTGAATAAAAACAGTGTAATTTTTGGCGTTTTAATTTCTGAAAACTTAGTTTAAAATTATTGTTTTCAACAGGCAAAATATTACAATTAACTGTGTAAAGATCACACAATTAGACAGCCTGTTAATATCAGTGCATGCTTTCCGGGGGGAGGGGGTAGGGATTATGGAATTTATTTAATTTGTTTTGAATATTATTGTATATTTAATGAACTCCAAAGTATTCTCGGGATAGTATCATATATTGTATATTCGCATCGAAGACTTGTAAAGTTATTATATTTCGTAGTCCCATAATAACAATGTCATATATTTTATTCATTAATGTCTTGAAACAATGTATGTATGCACTGTAGTTTAAACACCAAAAAAAATGAATAGTAAATTTATAAAAATTATTATGAAGGAATTACGAAGGGTTATGAATAAAAGCAAAACGATCTCTAAAAATGTATTTTTCATAAATTTAAAGAGATTCACATAGTAGAATAATAAATATATATTGTCATAGTTTATGTTATATTTATTTTTATTATGTTCTGAGTATTTTCCAGGACACTCAGAAAGTATTTCACAGGAATACTTCACTGGCATTTTCAATTGGACAGTAAAGTATAATTGTAACAAGTAATCTGAAGAATACGGAATATATTTTTTGCTGTAAAAAAAAGGAAACTCGTTTCATAAGGCTTTAAAAGTTTGTTGTACTATTGTATAATAACCGACAATTTCATAAATACTATTTTGTTTATATTTGTTTAATATGTTTATTATTTTGAGATCACCCCTGTATTTTTCAAGTCTTATTTTTACTGTATTCTTATTTGTACTTGGAATCGGGTTCGAGTCATACACTTATTCTAAATCTCTATTTATAACATATCTGAATGCAAGAAGATTCTGACTGATCTATACAAATAACCAATTTAACCCTCGAATTTTATAATTTGAAAGATAAATGTATGATATACATTGAAGATTTCAATATTTTTAATTCGGTTTTGTGTGTCTGTCTTGTTGATATTATCCCCACATTGTCTATTTTTCCTTTAAATTTGTCTTACCTGAAACCAATTCCTACGTAGGTTTTCCAGTGTATGGCAACCACCGTGATAAGAGCAGTATTGTGTGCTTTTTGTCGAATCAGCATCACATGAAACAGTTTGAGTTTTTTCATTATACATTTCTTCAGAACATTTCAAATGAGCTGTACAGTTAATGTTTATCCTGTATCTTTGTTGAAGTAAATGGACAGTGTCTACCAGGTATTTCCTAATTTGACTATAGTTACCAACGCATGTCTGCTGCTCTTTAGGATGAAATTCCCACACTTGCATTGCAACACAATTCTGTGATAGACAAACACTAAACTTTGGCTGGTAACTCTCGGCGTCTAAGTTGAAAATACCCATACCTCGATAAAGTGACAGCTTTTTATTTTCTTCATACAAAGGATATTTTTTAACGAAAGTAACTAAAATGTGATTAAAAAATGCTGGTGGCAAAAAATTAAACTCAAGACAAAACCAAGAGCTTCTTGAACAAGTTTTGCTGGCTAATTTGAACATTTTTGAAATACTATCAAAGTTTGACACATTAATCATACAAGGTATGTAGTAATCTTCACTTCCCTCAATCGTGGTGGGTTTAACTATAATATCAAATTTTTCCATAATTTGTAAAGCAAACTTTGTGTGTTTATCCGAATTAAGTTTTGGTACTTTGTCGAACAATTTTTTTATCAACTTGTCGGACAAGAAACCCGTTGACTGTAGTGCTTCCCATTCAGTCATATTTACAAACTCCGATTGAAATTGTAACGGAGATACAAAGCATCTTAATACATCAACTAACCATTTTGGCTCTAATATAATGTAACTTCTAATATCATCAAAATATATCAAATTTCCAATTTCATGTTCATATTTAAGGAAGGACTTCAATTCAGCTTCCAAATCTGTGATGGGGAATGAACATTTTACAGCAAATTGCACAGCTTCTTCGTATGGAATGATAAGGTTTTCAACAGCAATTTGTCTTTCGATTTCTTTTTCTAGGACTATCCATCTAGTTGGTAAATCATCTCCCCATTTTGGTATATTACTTGCCACTTGGACAATTTGTTCTCGCAGTTCTTTGAATTCATTTTCGTATTTCGAGAAATGTTTATTTGACAGGAAGTATGTTTTGCGGATATGCTTACGCTTTGAATGACCTTTAAGTAGTTCATGGAGTTTATTCTTCTGTTTACGAAGCTTATCTTCATTCTACGAAAAAAATCGGATTCATTAATTTGGCGATTTCGATGACTAACTTTAAGTATGTGCAGTCCTTATATAAAACATCATTTATATTATCAGGATAGGACAGAACATTTTAGTGTTAGATTTGAAGCAATAACTCTTGGCAAACAAACTTAGAAGTCTGACAATCCTACAAGTCTTTTCGATCACAATACCGATAACACGGAACACAGTTTACTTAGTCCTTAAGGAATAAATAAGTGGAAACAATTAAAATAGCTAATTTACTAGTACACTGTTAATCAAATAAAGATCAATCCATCGAAATAGGCTTGTAATTATATATATATATTAGTTAAACACAAAGTGTTTTTATTGTCTTGAATTACATCACAGGAAAGTAACACCACCTTTGTCAGGGCTAATAGAAAACCTAACTAAAGGTTAAATGTCACACTTTCAGTCTCGTCACATTACCCAACACGTAAAGATAAAATAGATAAGATAAATATCTACATCATGAAATTATCATAATCAACATGGAATAACGGTTATGAAAAAATTTCATTAATAATGTAGGAACATTAATGGTTAATAGCTGTCTGAATATCAGTCAAGGTAAACATATAAAGACATTGAAGAGCGATGTTCTTTTACAATAATATCAAAGTAAATATATGTTGATCTTATACATGTAGTTTCATTGCTGAATTTATATATACAAGTACAATCTTCAAGTCGCGTACTAAACAATTTCGAAAGGACTAATATCAGACAATTCAAATTTCATGCAAGTCCCAACAAGGTGTTCATTTTCTGTGTAAATTAAGAAAGTAAATAACTAGCTATCACAATTCAGATACTTTCAAGATATTAATACTGACAGATATGAAAGTACTTGATCGCAGATGCGTATAAAAATTATTCCTTCCCGCTGTTTAATAAACTATTTTCATAAGATATTAGTTTGTGGCATAAAACCCTTAACGAATATATATGTAAAATATAAAGGGTACTATGTAATCGACACAAGTCATTTTATAGTACACGTATATATATATATATATATATATATATATACAACTCGTCTTAACATCAGCCTAACAATGTTAGATCTGTAAATTTGCTTTCGCAATTTTTTTGTTTTTCCCTCGCCGGGATTCGAACTCATGCTACTGAGATATCGTGACACCAAATCGCCTGCGCTGTATCCGACGCGCTAGACCACACGACCACCTAGGCTTCACAAATATAAAGCTTTTGGTGGCCGGGTGTTACCTTTCCTCGTCAGTTTTAATCTAGCGTCGTAATACAGTACATGATATATCAGGCATGAAGATGGAATTGTTACAGATCAGCTGAAATATCTATCATGTACTGTATTACAACGCTAAATTAAAACTCACGAGGAAAGGTAACACCTACAAATTAATGTAAGATGCAGTCACAGAAATAATTATATTATAAGTACGTCTGAACCAGTGACGACTCTACAACAGATTTTATCCATCGGATCACCAGTGATGGTTATATATACAAGTCTAAATTCAAAACAACGTTCAAACCTATCATTGCGTTGGATAAAAACCGCAATTTTTATACGTGTGCATGCAAAACAAATTTCTTGGTAGAGGGGTCTAAATACAGCACAAACAACATTTTCCAAAAGACTAAAAAAGTGATAAAGTATATTTAAACAAAACGCATTTGACTATTTGTGCTGTATTTAGATCCCTCTACCAAGAAATTTGTTTTGCATGCACACGTATAAAAAGTGCGGTTTTTATCCAACGCAATCATAGGTTTGAACGTTGTTTTCAATTTAGACTTATTTACATTTTCGTTTGGGCTTGTAATGTATTTGCCTTCGGGTTTATATGATCCGTTCATCCTATTTCGACTCTTCATATTCAAGAGTCTATCCTCAATTGAGGTAAATTATATGGCCTTCCAAATACCGTTTCGATTCCTAACATCACTGAAGAGACATTAATTGTCGAAATCCGGATATGGTGTACAAATATTTGCACCTCATGTTTGCGGTATACCATCTTTTCCGCAAGTTTATTGTTTTCTGTTTGGTATTAAATTAATAATAAAGATCCATTTTGTTACATCTTGTGATACGTTTATTTGGCAATCGCCAATGGCAGTCAGCAGGGTTAAAGAACATCCGTTGTTCGACCTGTTAGTCAAATGCGTTTTGTTTAAATATACTTTTTTCACTTTTTTGGTCTTTTGGAAAATGTTGTGTGTGTTGTATTTAGACCCCTCTACAAAGAAATTTGTTTTGCATGCACACGTATATACAAATTGCGGTTTTTATCCAACGCATTCAAAGGTTTGAACATTGTTTTCGATTTAGACTTATTTGTTTTTTTTCGTTTGGGCTTGTATTATATTTGCCTTCGGGTTTATATGATCCGTTCATCCTATTTCGACTCTTTAGATTCAAGAGTCTATCCTCAATTGAGGTAAATTATATGGCCTTCCAAATACCGTTTCGATTCCTATCATCACTGAAGAGACATTAATTGTCGAAATCCGGATATGATATACCAGTTTTTGCACCTCGTGTTTGCGGTATACCATCTTTTCCGCAAGTTTATTGTTTTCTGTTTGGTATTAAATTAATAATAAAGATCCATTTTGTTACATCTTGTGATACGTTTATTTGGCAATCGCCAATGCAGTCAGCAGGGTTAAAGAACATCCGTTGTTCGACCTGTTAGTCAATTGCGTTTTGTTTAAATATACTTTTTCACTTTGTTGGTCTTTTGGAAAATGTTGTGTGTGTTGTATTTAGACCCCTTTACCAAGAAATTTGTTTTGCATGCACACGTATACAAATTGCGGTTTTTTATCAAACGCAAATCAGGTTTGAACGTTGTTTTCAATTTAGACTTATTTATAAATATATATATATATATATCCAACAGTAAATACAATAAAATATATTGTTTTGCTAACCAAACATCAATTTGACTTCAGAGAGAAAAGTAAGTAAGATACATTACCTGTATTTCGTCGACCCCAGTACTAATTATTATTACAGGTGGGTTCAGAAAATCGATCTGGGTTATTGAGGCTATATTGTCATCTTTGATAGCATGACAGTGAATGTTATCCAACCAAAAGTCAATATATGCTGTAATTAAAAGATAAAAAAATATCATATATTGACTACTTTTTACACAGTATTCATTTACTGTACTGTACTTGCCTTTCTTATTGTTGGGTTTAGTCAGAATTCTATCAATATGTACTGTATGCGCTAAAATCAGATTCATACGTGTATTTTTTTTTTTTTTTTTATTTGTTTTATTTGGTTAGGCCATCATCACTTAAATGAAGACACACACAATTGAAAAGCACATTAAACCTGAAATGTAAATACGAAAGTGTGTTACTACTTAGAAAATGAGAATTAAAGTATTGGAAACTCGAAATTTTTCCCATTGTCGTAAAGTTTGGAGTTCAGCAATCTTTTATGTTTGACTCCAGCTTTAAGGTAGAATTTGCATTCTATGTGATATTGTTATTGTCTCATTTGTCTTCCACTCTTTTTATTATTTCAATCTTATTTAAACAGATAGAATTTCAGATACTTCATAAATGATCCTTGTTCACCAACAGTTACCAAAGTGATAAGTCTTGAATTAAAAAAAAATTGTTGATTCTCAATTCTCTACAAATATATGGGAACAGCAAGGAGTTGCACAAAATTAACTGCTATGGAAGGGCATACTGTGAATTATTTAATCAAAATATCTTTTGCATTTTTTGGGGTTATTTTTCATAGTCTTTTGGCTTTCTTTTTTTTCTGACTTAAATCTAATTTTATCATATAAAAGAGAAAATAACATCATTATTTTGAGTTTTCAATACCTGTATTGTTACACGTTGTTCCTAAATGAGGAAAACCTTACTAGCGTAATTGTTACTTCCATAAATTATCATAATACATGTTTCTTTATAAATTAATTAATCTAATATATCGCCTAGTTCAATATAGTTTACCGTACATTGTAACATGGTGTATCTCAATACGTCTTTTCCCTTTTCTTTATAAACAAAATGCTTGTCACCTATTGATTGATAGCTACAGGTTTACTTTTGCCAAAATATATATGTTAGATATGCATTCATTTGTTTTTGAACATGCAAAATATAGTGGATGTCTCAAATGCATTACCCTACCACACAAAAGGATTGAAGTACCCCCTCCCTCCCTCCCCCCGTGAGTCTGTACTATGGTGACTTAAAATTTTGAACAGGTAAACAAAAATGATTGAAACAAGATTGGGTGGTCTGGCTATGCCACAGATACACAGAAAGAGCAATGTTGGCCAGATTGGATGCGTGGAGTGTTGGAATTCGTCAGGTCACAAAACATTTGTACCAGCCTTTGACAAATCATAATTTTTTATTATCATACTATGTTATCAAAGAACATTACATCTCCACCTTATTTTTAAATGTAAAATTTGAAATCAATATTTTTTATTATCAGTTGTGTATAATGCCTTTTCAATGTATAGGCTCAATAATGTTTCTCTGAAACAAAGTAAAAATATCTCAGGAAAAAAAAAAAAAAAAAAAACAGGATAAAGCATACAAAACTGCTCAGCTTCTGGACCCATGTAGAAGCTGCAACTTGCTTATGTTATTTAAATAGTTTTTCTACCGATGACAGGTGTGCTGTTCTTCATTCCAACATTGAAATTCCAAAAAGTAATATAATTTTTGTCGTAACTCATAAAGCAAGACTTAGTGGAAATTCCTTTATTTTATTGAAATTGATTCACTGATAAATAAATGGGAAATTTTGCTACCTATGACTGGGGTGTTGTATATAATTTTACCATTTAAATAAAAAAAAAAGTAGTAGTACTTTTCTACTTTTACCCCCCAAAAAAAACAAGTGGAAATTTCATTATTTTATCGACATTGATTAACCGGAAAGGAATATGAATATTTTTTCTACCTTTGACAGGTGTGTCCTCAATAAGTTTTCTATCTTTTATACGTGTGTCCTACATAATGTTTCCTCTAAAGTACCAAAGAAATGACAAATTGTTGTCTTAACTCAAAATAAAGCAACAAAGATAAAATTCCCTTATTTCAAAAAACAATAAATGATCGGCTTAAGAAACAAAATTCGGCCTATTATTATTACAGGTGTATTCCTTATTATTTTACCTCGAATGTCCTAAACAAAACAGTTACATTTGTATTATAAATCATACTGCTAGCTAAATTAAATTCCCTTGGTTTTTTTTAATTAATAAACCGGTAAAGAAAATAAAATGTACTACCTCTATCTCGTATGTTGTACATAATTTTATTATAAATGATCTAAATTAAAAGAAATTTTGTTTTTATCCAAAATCATGAACAGTAAGAAAGCTGCACATTCTTGTTTGAATATCTAATTTTCTAAACACTGTAACATCTGAAAATATTTCTACGAAATATCAAGAAATATAATTCCTTAGAATCATACATAGTAAACTGAGTTTACCTCTTTTTCATTAATATATTTGACCTAGGAAACAAAAAGGTCTTGAGGGATTACAAAATATGCTATTCTACATATCTGAATTTATTAGAAATTGAAAAATATGAAAAAGATTAACTATAAGATAATTCCTTTTCAATGCGAACGACGACGACAATTATTGTTAACAGAAGTGCATCTTCTGTTTATATTCGGTTTTACAATTTGCATTTTTATTGAAAATTATGCTTAGGCCAAAATAATTTGATTATTATAAAATGTAAATGTAAAATGTTTTATAAATCTGAGCACAAATACAACATGCATGTATGCTGATTAAATTTGTTTTAAGTTTCAAGTTGAATGTTGTAAGCACCCATTCTGAGAGTTCTAGAGTTATATCATGTTATGGACTGTTAGTACCGAGGGTATCACAAGCCCAGTAGCCTGTACTTCAGTACTTGCATGAAAATACGGATTTTGTGTTATTAAAATTTGCTGTTACAAAATTTTAGAAATAATTTTTTTATCTAGGAATATATCTCCCTCATGCAAAGCTCTTATTCCTTGCCTGACTTTGGCTATATTTTTTTGTCATTTTTGGTTTATAAACTCTTTACATTTTTTTTTAATAAGCTTTGGATTTCAAATATTTTTGCCTCGAGCATCACTGATCAGACATTTATTGTTGAAATGCGCATCTTGTGCAGAAAAATTGATACCGTTAATGTTATTAAAAAACACTACATAGAAAACTTAAGACTGAGCAACATGAACACCACAGAAAAACTGGTGGTAATCTCAACTGATCTAGAAGAGGTGCAACCGTCATGCTGCTTATGGTAAGAAAACATTCTGTGATAAGTCCTGGTTGTTGATGTCACAATCGAGGAAAAGTGGTCGGAATTGTGGGTAAGACAAAAGAAACCTATCTATTGTCACCAGATATTACCTTACGGTCAACCAACTCGTGATGGCGTCCGAATTATTGCTCTGAAAGGACAAAGTTTTATCCATTTTTGTGTGTTTGACGGAAATTTTTAGTTGATAAAGAAAAACTTTCGATTACAAAATATGATCAGCAAAACATAATCTACAAACTAGTCATATGTCTAAATTTTGCTTACTATCCTAGAAATTGTAACGAATAGACAGAAACTATGTCAATCAGACTGATCAGCAAGACAACATTTCCTTTTTACACAAACATTTGTGTTGCATTCTCTTAATTTAATACAAAAATAAAAGGTTATGAATAACTGTTCCTTGGAGTCTCCATTGTCGATAGAGAGAAATTCTAAATAAGAAATAAGATAGATCTATGAGTGTGTCAGTATGAAAGAAATCGATAAGTGACTCCTGTTATTGCCTTTCAAAGTCACTTTCTACTATTTTTCTGTTGTTGGCTATTATTTGTTGAGAAGTATGATAAATAGATAGAAACTTTGAACAATTTCAATGATAAACAAAATACAGTTTAACCAGAGGCTCTAAAGAGCCTGTGTCGCTCACCTTGGTCTATGTGCATATTCAACAAAGGTCACTCTCCAACATTAAAGACGAGAATAGAATTGTAGTTCTTGTCTTGCTGGTCATTTTTGCATAATTAAGTTTCTATCTATATCTGTTATAATTTTTAAAATATAAGGCAAAAACGCAAAAAAAATGGTAAAAACCGTCATCAAAGGGCAATAATTCTAATAAGGAGTCGACTGACGATTTCGACCTTGCAGACTTATTTGTAGAAATTGTCTTGCTGATCATTTTTGCAATTTAAAGTTTCTCTCTATCTATTATAGTTTTTAAAATAAGTGGGAAAAAATGAAAAAAAGGTAAAATTTGTCATTTTAGGGCAATAACTCCTGTAAGAAGTCGTCTGACAATTTTGACGTATATAGACAATTGGTAGAGCTCAACATTTTGAACATTTCTGCCCTTGTCTTATTTTCTCTATTTATAACGGTTTTCAAAATAGTAGACACAACTTGTATTTTACCCCTATGTTCTATTTTTAGCCATGGCGGCCATGTTGGTTGACAAGCGGGGTCTTCGGACACATATTTTAAACTAGGTACGCCAATAATTATTGTGGCCAAGATTTTTGTAAAAGTTAACGGACGACGACGACGGACGACGGACGACGGTCACCAAGTGATGAGAAAAGCTCACTTGGCCCATTAGGCCAGGTGAGCTAAAAATAGTTGAGAATAACTGTATGTATGGATGGACTTGCAAAAGGAGTCCCAGACTGTACATGAAATATTTGAACCAACTATAGCGTTTTGAGCGTTTTCTACGAATAACATGAAATTATAATAGATAGAGAAGAACTGTAAACAGACATCAAAAAGAATATAAAGTGATAGACATCATTAATTGGATAGATATTGGGGTTATTGTCCCTGGGTGGCTTGAATTGACTATGATTAAAGGTGATCGAGGTAGATGAAAATAAAACCAAGTGTTGGAATACTAGCTGCCAGTGTGGCTAAAAATGTGCATGTTGTATATTTTGAAAAGCGAGTGATACAGTCTCTTGGGGCCTCAATTTAGATGGTTATGCTTCACTTGCTTCATCAAATCGCATGCATATTTCACAACTTGTACTGTTTGCTAGAATACGTTCAAATACAGCTTAGTTTAATTAT